GTTCGATTCCCAGGGAACACACATACTGGTAAAAAATGTATATCCTGAATTTAGTCTGCTAAATTATTTAATTATTATTATTAAATGTGTGATTAAAGTCATTGCATTGGAAAAGACGTTACAAAAATGTAGCTTTAAAAAGAAAAATGTTAATTCAACATTGCATAAATGAAAATTATTAAAAAATGGGGGGGAAATCATACTCTAAATAGTCTGAAATTCAAGGTGCATTCAGTAGTTGTTCAGCTAGCATTACCATCACTGTTCTTCGGTGATGTTAGACGCCGCACTGCCATCTATTGACGTGGATCAGCATGATTGTCTCTGATTACACTGATATTAGTGAGTTTTAGAGAGTGCTCTACACAACAGTGAACTTCTTTACCTGTCCAACATAAAAGAAGCAACTTGGGCGTCACTGAGGGAAGCGACCTGTCCCATACAAGTTTAATTCAGGACTATTGGCCATTTTTTCCCCCCTAAGTCTCTCAATAAGTCTTAAGTGTCCCATTTTACCTGAATTCACCATATAATTAAAACAGTTTGTATATGAAATTAAGTGCAGTCTTGATCTCATGTGAGCAGGGCCGCATTAAGACCGCACTGGGCCCCGGGGCTATGATTTACTGCAACTATGTGTATTTGACCGTTTAAGCACAAGGAGCGAAAGTTTAGTCAGTAATACGAGCAAGTGTATCAGGTAGAAACCGTTTTAAAGCATGCATTTACCAGAATGAATTCTGCCCCGCAGCGTAGGCTAATGTCCATGAACAGTATAAACCATTTGTTGGCTAATGGTAATGCATAGAATTTACGGAAAATCTATACTAAATAATAGTGCTAATAAATGGGGGGCGTGGTGGGGCTTTGGCGATCGGCGCTGCCAATGGCCAGTCAATCTACTCCACAGCCAATCACAGGCCCCCTCCTTGCTCGGGCCCCGGGGCTTCAGCCCCGCCTAGCCCAATGGTTAAAACGGCCCTGCATGTGAGTGTGTATCATTCAGATGATTCTAAACAAAAACACTGTTGGTTTGTGTATTTATTTATTAATGCCTAAAGCTTTAAAAAAAAAAAAAACTGCCGAATGCACCTTTAATGCATGTACAAATTGGCTTTGGTCCATAAAATACAGTGACTTACAGTGGTCTATTTGGCTGGAAGCTGAAATATAGGCATGATACAAGTGATAGTCCACTTCAACAACAAAAACATTATTCATCTTTCATTCATATTTTCAGTTTTTCTTGCTTTAACTGGAGACTCTCAACCATTTTTTATTAATTGCAAAGTAATACTGAAGTTCTCCGAGGCTGTTTTTATGTCAGTCAGTCTCTATGCTGCAACTGAGCAATCAGGATAAAGAGAGCTGTGAAATAATACAAAGACCTCGGTAGTTTTGTGATGTCTGAGCGTGCGAGCTGTTTGCTCATTCTTTATGGTTTTGCTCATTTATCCTGGTAAAGTGGAAGCCTATATTCCTATTTCTGATGTAGTTGAGTAGGATACTGTAATCAGTGCAGCAGTAAATGAAGAGGCTCGACATATTTGATAGTCATTACAAACACTACACACTTCTGGAGATGAAGCTTTCCGCATGGAAACACCGTTTTCTTTCTAAACAACATGCATGTGTCTCCTGCTGTTTGAGGAGAGGTGGAGGCTTGAGTTGTGCATCACTAACACGCTTGTCTTTGGTCTCTGACGGCTCGTGTGATCTGGACTGACGCTCTTCACAGATGAATGGCTGTTCGCCGAGGGTCTGGAGTCAGGGCCAGCTCTTCCTCTGCTGGAAGATAGAAGGCAGTCTGATGAACAGCAGCACAAACTCTCTCTCATCATGGCCTGGAGTCTCTGACCTCTTTCGTCTGCGTGCAAAAAGACCTCTGTGACAGACACCAGAAGCTCTCACTCACTGCAGTCTGTGTTTTACTGAAGGGATAGTGACCTGAAAATGAAAATCCTGTCATTTACTCAACCGAACCTGTATGAGTTTCTTTCTTCTGCTGAACACAAAAGAAGATATGTTGATGTGTGTAATAAGCAAACAGTTGCTTGTAGCCATAGTATATGACTTCTAGTCGATGGAAGTCAATGGCTACCGTCAGCTATTGGTTACCAACATTCTTCAAAATATCATCTTTTGTGTTCAACAGAAGAAACTCGTACAGGCTTGAAACAACATGAGGGCGAGTAAATGAGCTTTCTTTTTAACCGTTGCAAACTAAACACTGAAGCCAATCTTCAATCAGACTGACTCTGGGGAAATCACCGCTGGTTTCTCTGTAGTTACATGAGTTTTCTGTTTCAAACACGCTAACATTGTCTTGCAGTCCGAAAGCTTGACTCATTAGCATCTGATCAAACAGCATATTTAATACATCCGCATTCAAACACGTTTGTTGGAAATCTGATATATTATACATTGTTTTAATCAAGGTGAAATACAAATAGTACAACGGTTCAGTGTAAAAGTGATTTTGTGTCTGTGTCTAATTTTTTCTGCTGGTTTCTGAAGTTGATGATGATGATGATGCATTGTTAATATGATGAACTGATGTTAGTGCAGCTACCAAGACTGGGATGGTTTAACACCCG